AAATCACCAACAAACCTCCCCCATTTAAGTGTAATCCTGATTAAACTTAAAACAAAACATAAACAACAACAAACTAATGCATAAATGAAATGTCGTGACGATTGAATTTCATATTAGTATATTAGTCAATCTATTCGAATATCAGGGTGTCTTTAAGGATTGAACCCTTTCTATTCAAAGTGAATACATAAAGATAATACACACACCAATTTACATTCTGATAATTTCTAACTTGACACTATATATTACTAGCTTGTGTCCTATCCTGCAATAAGCTTATCAAAGCCAAGTGCTAACTTTTTGAAGTAGCTAAACTTCATGCTTATATAGGTAGTTATTTTATTCTTGCACATGCAAATGCAATTTTTCAAAGAACTATTAAGAAATAAATTTTCAACCTCCTTAACTTGCAGTACTGAACACATACCTTGGGATGATCATAAAAATGTGTTCCAATCTTTAAATATGAAGCTTTCCACACTGAATTCAACATCTGATATTACATTAGATGGGAATTGGGTATCTTAATATAAAAGATTTTAAGTGGACTTTAAACCCATCCCTATAGCCGCCTTGTGCACAAGATCTCTTGCTAACCCTTTGGTTAGATGATCGGCTAAATTCAACTGAGTTCTTACAAACTCCACAAATATCACACCAGTCATGATGAGCTCACGAATCATGTTATGTCTAGCACGTAAATGTCTAGACTTTCTATTATACACTTGATTATAAGCCTTAGCCAAGGTTGTGACACTATCACATCTGATAGAAATGGTAGATATCGGTTTGGGCCATAATGGAATTTCATAAATCAAATTCCTTAGCCACTCATCTTCTTTACCAGCAGCAGACAATGCAACAAACTCAGACTCCATGGTTGAGTTAGTAATACAAGTTTGTTTCTTAGATGCCCAAGAAATGGCACCTCCTCCAAGAAGAAACACTCAATTACTTGTAGAGGAGTGATCCTCTAAGTTGTTAATTCAGCTGGCATCTAAATAACCTTCCAAAACAGAATGATATCCACTATAATTTAAACCATAGTTCACGGTCCCTTTCAAGTACTTGAATACTCTACTCACAGCTTGCCAATGATGTGAACTAGGATTACTAGTATATCTACTAAGACTTCCCACAACATAAGCTATATCCAGCCTAATACTAACCATGGCATACATTAGACAACCAATAGCCCTAGAATATTCAAGTTGAGCCACTTGAGATCCTTTATTTAATAAAAGCTTGAGACTAGGATCTATAGGAGTGCTAACAGGAGAACTATTCTCAAAGTTAAACTTTTTCAATATCTTCTCAATGTAATGAGATTGAGAAATTGAAATCCCATTGTTTCCTTGTTTAATTCTTATACCAAGAATTACCTCAGCCTCCCCCAGGTCTTTCATTTCAATACTGGATGATAAGAATTTCTTGGTTTTATTAACTTCTTCTAAATCGGTACCAAAAATTAACATATCATCCACATATAAACGAATCATGACTCCTTTACCAGAAGTATCAAATTTTCTATATACACACTTGTCTACTTGGTTTAATGCAAAACCATTAGACAAGACAACATCATCAAACTTTTGATTCCATTGTTTCGGTGCTTGTTTCAAAGCATATAATGATTTCTTCAACTTGCACACTTTTGTGTTCATTTCCAGGCATCACAAACCTTCAGGTTGT